TGTACGGAGGCGTGCGACACGGATGCGGTTCGCGCTTCTGAATTCGGCGGCAAGATCGTACTCACGGGCCGAGTTCTAGATTTTGGCTGCCTCGACTTCTTCGGCATAACGGTTGGTGGATGAGGACAGGTTTTTGAGCTGTATTTCATCTTGTTTTTGTTGATGCAGAAAGTTGAACTGTTGGCTTCGACTCGCTGCGAGGGGGTTTTTCGTGCTTCGTTGGTCGATCCGGTGGATCTTTGCATGACCGGGCCGATTACGACGGGGTTACCATCTTCTTCATCACTTCCCACGCATGCTCCGAGTTCGTTGGCGATGGTTCCCGTTGCATCGACGGAGCCGGTGACGTCAACGACGGCGGCTTTTCTCACTTCCTTTACGACGGAGGCGCCATCTGTCGTCACTTCTGGGGACACCGTGGTCACACAAGGCCCTATTACAGCTTCGTCTGTTGGAGTTCGTACGTTGACGACGCTCATAACTGAAATGACAAAACAGACTACGCCTGCTCCTAGTAAGAGCTTCCATTAGAACTTTTAACGAGGTTTTTAAACAAAAAATACGTTGCTTTCTAGTGACGACCAAGCCTTCCATCATAGTTTCGGTTTTGAAAAATCTTCCGGAAACCCGAATTCATTCTGGGGATCATGCGAACGTCACGTTAACGGTAGTGGAAGGGAAAGCGGTCTTGGGCGCGGAGTTTGCTACCGAGCTATTTTCTAATTGGGCCATAGGGCTAATTAGCGGCCTCGGCGTAACGGTCTTTGGGTTGGCGGCTGGATGGATTACCTGGTGTTTGAGGAAGAAGGTACTTTCCGTTTTTTGCACTGTTGTTATTCACAAGTACATTCTTCGCATGTCACCTTATCTTTTAACCAATTCTCATTAACTAACAGTATCTCCGTAAAATAACCAATAACCAACCTAAATCTAAAAAGGATGTTGAAGAGATTGAAATGCAAGAGATGTCCTCAAATCCGACTATAACGCATGAGACCTCCATTAATGAGATAAAGGATGGATTTGCTACTATTAGGTCACGCATTCCTCGCATGACAACCTTTAAACCAAGTAAGACTTAGCTGAATGTAAACCCCTTGTTTTGCATGGATGCATGTCTTCTTTGGGTGTTTCTTGTTGTCTTCCTTGTTCTTTAGCCTTGGTTGCTGTCAGTCCTGAGGAGAGCGGAGGAGGTGTGGAGAATCCTCACGCCACCGATGACTCCAGCATCGTCACCTTCACCACCGCCATTGTCGGCTGA